TTTTTTCGATGAAACCATTTACTTAAGCTGTATATTCATATTTGGTAAATATTTGTCTATAGGAGGACAGGAAAGATTGCATCATAAAGTGATTCAACACTCCAATTATCAAATGAGGTTACGTAATAATCAGGGGGTTAAATAAGAATAGAAGGATGAAAACAATTTACGGGTCAAAATTTCGAAGGAAAAATGCAAAACATAAAGGTCATAATAATAACTGAATGACAATCATCAAAAGTTATTAAAGGATAATAATAACTGATTACGGTTTAATATTACAAAACGCTAATAAAAAAATATATAAAAAACATACTGCAGAAGGGAATTAGGACCGAAGAAGGATGAGAGGTTGGACGTATCGTTTTTGCACGCAGAGTTTAGGCTTGAATTGGTGGATCGCCAACACCACAGCAGTTTTTGATTTGACCTCCCTTCACTCCAGTTCCTTTGATTGTGTAGATTATTGTAAAGGAGGACTTCGGAGTGACGTATCCAAAGTTGATTGAATGTTCCTGTATTGAACTGGCAACTGTTTTGCATTCTTTTAAAAGCCATGCCAGGTAATATTCTGGGATGGGTTTAAAAAGCGATCGCTTTATGAGGCCAATGTAACCTATCCCACAGGAGCAAATAAATTTCTAGATGCAAATGGACGTGACCCAAAGCGGAAGTTTATCCTTAACATATCTGTGAATGGCAGACCAGATTCAGAAGTCAATGCGGAGCTTGGCTGAGTAGGTTTTGTTCAGGGATTTTCAAATCCGTTTATTCAAGATTTCAGCAGCTGTATCTCCTTTAAATCCAATATTCATAAAAAGAGTTGGTGCCTTTTCAGGGTGTTGACTAAATGTTAAGTTCCTATCGATGAATCTGGGTGGATAACCACTCTTGATAAGTGTCTGTCGAAGTTGAAATAGTTCATCATCTATTGTGTCAGTAGAACATATTCGCCTGATGCTTGAGGTTCAAGAGTGAATTAAGTTCCTCTTTGCACTCAGTGGGACCCAGGTATGGAAATTCGTGCACTGCTCATTCCGAGTTGGTTTTTCTATATATAGATCTCTGTAAAAAATAGATCTGACCTTTCCAACCGGACATCAAGAAAGTGCAATTCTTCGTTCGCCTCTGCTTCCAATGTGTATTGAATTGAGGGGTGACGGTTATTGAAACGATTCAAAATTTCATTGAGGTCTATATCTTCCTCACAAATAGTGAAAGTACCATCCATGTATCTTTTATATAAATAAAATCTTACAATTATTGGTCGAAGTACCTTATTTTACCGATTGGCCATAAAACAGTCAACCAAGAGCGGACCCAACGGTGAACCCATTGCAACTGAATTGCACATTGAGTAAATGATTACGTCGAAGAGGAAATTTTCCTCGCTAAATACTCTTTATTTAAGGATGCAATGGGTTATTTTATTATTAGTAGCTTGTTTTTGACACAAGAATACTATGTCTTAAGTAGCTGGAAATTAAATTCCAATTTTTAACTACATACGAAATTGTGTTGATTGATCGACAGTTAGCTTTGTTAATGGTTTTCAAGCTCAAGTATGGGAAACAGAAGTAGAAGAAACAAGACGTAACACTTATCACATTTTAAAAGTTAAATCCACAAATTTGCTATATTATTGTTTTCGAGTTAGAAATCTTATTTACAATATTTTCATCTTCAAACTAAGTTTAATTTCAATCGACAGTCAGCGTGGTTCGTAAACCTTTTGTAACCTATAGGTTTATGTACTTTGATCTGAGCTACTGTGTTTTGCATGAGAACTAGTTTTACTACTCGCCTACTCGTAACGGTATGAGGGTAAAAAGTGTTCGTACCCAAGACCTATTAGTTAGAATCCTTAGTGCTCTGAACACTGAAACATATGTCTACCTACTAAGGTAACTCTAAGATACAACTTGGCAATACACAATACTTCAGCAGTTGAGATCATGAGTCAATTGAAACTAGATCACCATGGAAAACCCGGAAGCAATGGACGGCCGTTTCGTCCTATTGTGGGGCTCCTCAGCATTGAGCACCCACGATCCCGCGCCCCGCGAGATTCGAACCCAGGACCTATCAGTCTCGCGCCATGCGCTTAACCAACTAGAGCACTGAGCCGGCATTCAACGGTGTTAATGTCTAACTTCAAACAATCCACGAAGTTGCGCCACCGTACACCATTATCTTCAGTGAGCTGATATCTTACAACAGACCTGATTGAACCCCACTGCTCACGGCTTCTCACTAGAACTCCAGGAGTGTCTCTTGAAGTCAGTCACTAGAGAGCAGATGATTATTATTACTACAATCTCCACAAAACCCCTTCTGATACTAATACACAATATCTCCATCATTAAAACTTAAGTAATCATAAATTTTGATTATTCACTTAATTAATATTAATATAGTGCAGCTACAAACACTGTTATTCTAGACGTTTCCCAGTGATTTCTCAATCAATCTCATCTAAAAAAATAAGACTGTGCTTGTTGGAATTATTTATCACACTGATTCACGTTTACGTGTAAGTGAATCATGGATAAAATGAAATTCTTAAAAATTCTTTTTTTAAGCCTACTTTTTATTTTGAATTTGCGAAAAGATATAATAGTTTAAAAAAAAGTAATCACTAGATAGTTTATATATGGGTTTTACCAATTCAAAGTCTTCAGTGAAGAAACTTTTTCCAGAATATTTTAAAACTAAATAGTTTGAGTTAAAAAGACTTAATAAACTGTTAGATTTATACTATTGGATAAAGATAATTTAGGATCATTGTTATAATATGAAACTGGACGTCTAGGCAGCTTTGAATTTGCATTATATACAATGTACGTAATCTTATTGTAGACATGGATTGTAATTTGAAATATCCATTTATTAATAACAAAATCAAATGTCTTTTTCTTAAAAATTACTTTCGTTTATTCGTTTATGATAATTTGTTTTCCTCTATTTGTTTTAGTGAACTTATTCAAACTAATATTTTACGTACTCAGAAGTTTGTGCAATATTTCAAAACAAGAAAAATAAGCTTTCTCATGTTGGACTGTTGAATGATTTATTTATAAAATGATTAGATTATTCGCTTTAATCTTAGTTTATTCATATATATTTAGTTTTTCATTAAGAATATGACCTTGGGACTGTTATATTCTATTAATATTATTATTAAACATTATTTATGACAATTTCTTTGTTTGAAATTTTAGTATTTATGGGGTGTCGAAAATCACGTCGAACAATATCTCAGTATAATTTTTATTCACTGAAATAATGTACAAAGAATGAGAACTCATGATAAGCAACTACATAAATTGTCATAAAAAACCAGTTGTTACTATCACACTTATTTAGCAACATATTTGTTTCTCTAGTCAACAATTAACTGATCGAAACAAATATATTTAAGAAATCTAATCAATTGATCATTCATAAATTATATGGGACACTGTAAAAAATGTGTATTGGTTCATGTTACAGCATTTGTTGTGAAGACTAAGGTGATAAAAATAAGATGACAATAAAAAAATAGTGGAATAATATTAGCAGAACTAATGGTAGTGAAGAATAGAAAATATGGTTCTAAAAGCGTACATGAAGTTAAATAATAGGAAGTGTGAGTTATTACTAAAACTTTTTACCTGTGAGTAAACAAAGAGCGAAATCTTCTATATCACTGCATTCAGTTTCAAATTATGTTACCTTAAATCTCTTACTACAAATTATGGTTATAAATGGGTTTTAAACATGAAGTTATACATTCTTATATGGCTTAAAATAGCAAACATCGTTTTCATTTAATGAAGCCATTTATTATTTTGCTAACTCACGAACTATTAGGTTTCGTTGTAATCAGAAAAAGACAGAAGGCTTATCATGTTAACACTCTCTTACGTAGTACAGTACTAAAACTAATCATTATTCTTAATTTCTATATATTGCATAATCAGCCAACTTTATAACGTGTCAATACATATATACATCTCACTTATGGGATAGACAAAGATCTTTTATTATCACCGTTCATCATAAAAATATCACTCTGACTTAATTCATGTATTATTAATATTCAAAGTACATTTTATCTTAATTGTGCTGAACATTATGTGCAAGTAAAGTGAAAATGTTTCTCCATAAATTTACTAATTCACATACTAACTTATTTTTTGCCATAATAAAATGATCTCTTTAGTAATAATAGGAATAGTGATTATAATATTTGAACGTTGTATTCATTACATACTGATTTCATATAGGATACTATTGGAAACCGGAACCTAATATTTACGTCATGAAACACATATGACGTGAAATCATAGTTTAAAATTGATACAAATTAATACATATTTGCAGTTATTGAGTAGATCATTTGCTTGCCTACAACTTTATTTAACATTGCAGGCCTATGCTTCATGTTAGCGTTATAAACTAACAGGAAACTAAATAAAAATAATATATTTGTAATATCCCAATGAGTAGAAAATTGGATTTTCTGACGTTTCGTGGCTTAGTGTAAGTCACTTCTTCAGAGAATAAATAACCAAATTAAAATTAATCCAAGTTTAAATAGTACAACGGAACAATGCAAGAATTGGATATTACAAATATATTATTTTTATTTATAACAATCAACCCAATGCTCAATTTATTCGAAATTATCAAATCAAACCTTGGTAATGACACCTATAACAGGAAACTATTGGTAAAATAATAATCTAATTCAAACGTTCAATAAAATTTATTTCAATATGAAGTAAACACCCATGAAAATTAGATAAACATGTTTGGAAAACTTTGAAAGTCTAAATCAAATATATATGTGATCAAGAATGCTCATTCAAGCATTCAAAAGAGGCTAGGTGAAAACACATTATTCATGAAGTCACCAATAATAAATGAAGGAAGTAAAGTATGTTGTGATTTATTTCAGACTGTCATGGTCATCATGTATAATAATAATAATAATAATAATAATAATAATAATAATAATAATAATAATAATAATAATAATAGTGAACAATGAACTAAAGTTATTACTATAAGACGTGATTATCGATGTATAATCTACAAGTATAAAAATGATCACTACAATGATTAAATATTAGCATATTTTCTGCAATGATTTTCGGAATATGATTCGTTTATTTATTTATTTTATGTTGATGAAAACAGTGCAGTATGTAATATAACAATTTAAAATGTGCGTTACTTCCATTTGTAGCTTTGACAGTTAAGCAATCAGTGGAATAGCACGTGGCCTGTTGTTGTTGTTGATGTGTGACTTTTCATGAAATGTTACATTGAGTGGACGTAATCTCTCTCTAAGAAATAATGGAATACAGACGAACAGTTGAGTTTATGAAAATTAAGATATAAGTTTAATTGCAGATCTATATAAATTATTGAATACTTGAAATAGATTTGCACTCATACTAATAGTTTACATTCGTGAATTGTTATTTTCAAATTTTGTCAATAACTTTAATTAAACTTTCAGATAATCTCTACTTTAATTGAGATAATGAACTGATAAATGTTGGACCACCATCGAGAACCTGGAAGCACTGGATAGCCGTTTCATCCTAATATGGGACTCCTCAGCAGTGAGTACCCACAATCCCGCACACCGGATTCAGGCATAACCTTTAGACCACTGAGATGTCATCCAACGGTGTTAATGTCTAACTTCAATGTTGTTCTAACATTAATCAGTTCATGATCGCAATTAGAGCTCAACAATCTCCACAAGCGTGTACTGATAATCTCTATATTGATTGCTTTTCTACTTGTTTTCTGTATGTTATATATAACACTATACATTAGGATAGATTCGAGTGTTTTGTGAAATTGTCTAGAATGCTTGATAGATCCCTCTGAATATTATGGACAAAAACACTGTATTATATCACAAAGTGACTGTGAGTAGCAGTCAAATCTATTCAGTCTTCATTTTTAATTTATTAGATTCTATTATTCTAAATATAAATTCTCGTTTCCTATTCATGAAGATCTTTTTCTGTGCTGTCTCAGTGCAATAAACTCTAACGGATATGGTATTTTAGGTCATTTTAATTTGATATGTCTATTTAACAAATCATAAATTGTGGGAAAGGCTAGACTTATATTTCAGCAATAAACCACAAGCAGTCAACTTGCCAATTCGACAGACATACATCCTTTTTAATAATATAAGTAATAGCTGAAAGTCAACAAAAATTATGAGGATATTTTTATGAGTAAATAAATCAAGCTTGTCATTGACGGTACATATAGCGTGAATGTGTAGATGACAACTGAAAACTAGTATGTAATGTATCTAAATATTTAAACGTTAAAGTATAATTTCTTGTTTATCAAATCTTTTGACGTTTACCTAAGTTTCCAAGAAACTTTATTTCCATGATTAGAAAATAAAGTATTTTTATAGTATCTGACACAATATATTGATTGATTTGTTGAGATAAATAAATAAAATTATGCGATGGTATATAGATCTTAACAAGCTTCTACGATTACAGTCGTTAATAGTTTCTCGATATCATTTTTAAGTCCATAGATTCAGGTCATGGGTGAATTAGATATTATTCCTATTCTATCGAAATTGTCGGTGCATATCTTATATATTTCCTTCTTATTGATTAATAATCACATATTCGTGTTGGTGAATAATTCCATAATGAAAATAAATCGTAAATTTTGAAAAAAAATTGCCAACTACCTTAATTTTGAAGTTTCTTTTAGACTTAAACGTGCTGATGAAGTAGAGTCAAAAGAACACATCGCACCCCATACACACCGTGACCGATCATAATTTTCTGAATTGTAACGTCCAGGACCAACTGGACTCTGGAGTAGGAAGATAATAACGTTTTTTTACAATATCGAATTACACTTATTCATTTAATAGGTAGCAGACATTTATCTTTATAACTTGATTAACCTATATAAGTGAAATACAACCCCAAGTATATTTATAGGTTAGAAAAAGTGACTATCTATCACTCAATGAGGTTATATTCTAAAGATTCAGGTAATAATAAATTGAAAAGAAAATGATCTTCAGTTAACAATACAGTACCAGTTTGGGAAGAATTTAATGTTGAAAGACACATTGAGTTTAAGGAAAATAACTTTGGATCACTTCAAACAGTGAATAGGAAAACTTTAAACTCATTCTTGATAATTATCATTGCTCGTCAGTAAATTATTAATCTGAGTGGTCATTTTATGAGTAGTTTTTTCATGCTGTATAATAGCTTATCGCATGCAATCAACTGATGAATTCATAGCTTCTTGTTTATACAAATATATTCATTGCAACCTATTTCAATATGGGTAACCCATTACCTGCTAATTTGAGTTACGTTTATCGTATAACAACGTCAGGAAGAAACCATTGAAAACTAAGTTGAAATAATCAGTCACTTTGACTCATATTGCAAGTCCTTATCCAAGAAGTTTCAGGAATACCGATTACACCCAGAGCTTTCAGGTACAATAATTAACATGAACTTATTTAAATATTGAGTTCGTCAATACTACTCTACAGTTTTCTAATGTTTAGTAGGAAACAAAGAAATTGTTTTTTAGTTATAGACTAGTTAAATACCGTCCAATAGCCTATAGGTTATAATTTTAACAGGTCATAATTATTTTCTGAAAATATGTGCCTCATTAAAATGGTTGACATCACCTGTACAGAAATTTATATATTTGAGGTTTTTATGTGTGTTCCAAATATCAACTATATATCTACTAAATAGGAGCTTTACTTAACTATACTCAAGGCACAGATGAATCTTCTGTTAAGATATTTATTAAATGTAATGTTACTATTCCAACAGTTTTTAAAAGAACTGATTTGATCTGTATTGATAAGTGTACGCGACTGGTTTGCATTTCCAAAGATTGAGACATACACTATTAGTGGATTTATATATATATGGGAAGGCACGGATACCAATTTCTGTTTGACCAGCAAACTTCTTTCTCATTCTCAGTGTTTTCGCTCAGATAGCCGGTTGAGCCTATACATAAGAAGGTTGTATATCAGTATCAAAATTCAATATTGTAAGTCACAAGAGAAACAAGAAATTTCGTTTGGTTATCTGTTCAAATAATGCGAGTCAATTACCTGCAAATTTACGCTGATACACCAGTACAAAAATAAGCAGATTGTAAAAAGAATGTAACAGTTTTTATTTAGTGTCCGATGTTTGAAAGAAAGTTTGTTGTTTCCTTAAAATATGTAAAGGAATCAGTTCAATAAAAAAGCATTTACCTGTCTACTGGTAAATATTGAGTGTGAATTACGAGAGGCGCTGGACAAAAATGGAGGAGCTTGATGATTAAAACTTTTATCCTTGTCATCTAGATATTTGGGATCATAATATCCTGGTCCTATCTTTAAAAAAATAAAGCGAAACCCAACAAACATAACTACATGTCATTATTGGTTCGTGATATTTATAAAATGTGATCATGGGAAAAATGCTATAACTAGTAGGCTAGCTCAAAATTCAAGTATTATATTCCCTATTTGGCTTAGTGATCCTCTTGTTTTGTATAAATATCATTACGTTGTTGCCTAAATTTTGCATGACATACATGTGAATTTTACGTTGTTTGGGCAATGATCAATTAAGTAAAGGGAGTTGATAAGTGATTATTGGTTGAAGTTTCGTGACGCTGTTATAAGCTTTTGAATTGTTGAGCCTTCTTCAGTAAGCTAACTTAATGTGATTAGAAGCATCACCTGGTTTCACGGTAAACTAGATCACAAACATGTTAGTTTTATTGAATACGGTGCGGTTATTTGGGAGGATAATGTTTTATTTAGGATATTCATATTTTGAATACATTTTCATTGCTCATTATTCAACTAAAAAATTTTACTAACTACTGGAAAACTAAAAGAATTTACCAAGCACATTAGTCTTACCTTAGATTTTACGAGGTCGTTTTGCATCCTAGCAGAATAGCACTGATCCATTTTTCTTTGTTCAACAACAAGTCTACGAAACATCCCTGTATACTTTTTTTCTGGTCGCAAAAGATTGGATGTAAATGATGTTAATGAATAGGTTCCTGGTTCTGGGTATTCAGAAGTCTGAAAAGTTGTTGAGGGATAAAACAACTGAGTTGTGAAAAATAGAAGGCAAAAGTAAGTAAGCTTGATGCTTCATACTCTGTTTAACTTCAAAGTTAGCTAAAGCCATATTTCTTCAAGCTAACTTTTCTATACATTTTTGCTCCTATCTGCTATTCTCTACATTTAATCTTCAAAATATTTCTACACAAAGGACATGAAATAATCGTGGTAAAGGCATTGTTGCCGGTCAACAAGATAGTTATCTTTCTATATCTGTTTATTGTATTACGTATATATATATGCTTGAATAAGGATAACAAATCTCGAACAAACTGTTTTTCAATACTGTCCAGTTTAATAAATTTTCATCTTATGGTTAACTTCCCAATTGTTTGTGACGAATGCTAGGTAGTTTTGTTTCCCCCAACTATCTAGATCAGGGATACCAAAAATGAGTGAAAATAGGGAGAATAATAATCCCATCTTAGCAGATGGACAAATATAATCAAAGTATCAGTCATGAGGTGAAAAATACTAGATAAGTCTAATTTCAGCAAACAAAATTCCGATAGGAATATAAGTAAATATTTGAAATAGAATATCAAAACTTTTTCTCACATAAGTAAAGCTTCTCGGTCCAGTCATCAAATCATAAGGTCCGCGTTTCCCGGTTTTTTTATCCAGTAGTTTCTGTACCAAACCATTGATTTCGTAGGTACCTGGTGCAACATTACACCCCTTATTGATAAACATTAGTTTGAACCATCAATTAAATTACTGTCAACGGTAAAGAACGACTTCCATCCCCACCACATTCTAATAAGCCTTTTGTGCAACATGATTTGTGTTTCGCATCCATTAATTCTTTATAAAGATATGGATCACCTTTCATTCCATAAGTACCCACTCCTGGAGTATCATTCTGAGTAAAGAATTCATAAAAGTAATTTTAAAAGGCTTGATTTTTACTCCTCTGAGTTCCGAAAAGCGATCCGCAGTTGTATTTATGGGTCCTATGGATTCTGAGGTTCCCTTCGTCTGAATTTCTCTTGGTAGGTTATACCGACCAGGTCCAAGATTTCTTTGCTTTAAAAAAAAGTTTTCCGAAAAACTATGTATTATAATATATATAAAAGTTGAGTTAACTTCATGTTGCATATATATAAAACGTTTATCAAACTGTACAAACGACTGGTTGATGACCGGTTTTTTTACTCAAAACAAAATGTAGTGAAAAAAATGAAGAGACTGCCTAACAAAGAATACTGAATAAAGTATTAACAAACCTTTTGTGTTTGGATTGTGGCGGTAAATAAATTGTGTGAGCTCCTTTGAACTTAATTTCAGAAGGCTGAATATTTGCTTTGATTAGGTTGAAAAACTACGGAAGTATGTCCTGAGACTCTCTGATTGATATAGGCGTGTAGAGGTGAATAAGCCCCCATAATAAATAATTTTGTAAGTCTTCGACGTTTATGCTGACCTCACTGGGTTTATAGTGCACAACTTAGCTGAAATCTCTCACTCACTCATCCGAACCCGATTACGATTGAGTGAACCGTGCTATGCATCCCTTGCAGCTGCTATCCAGCTTAGACCAAACGCTTCTCCACATACCGATATCCTTTTAAATATGTCTTCAAACCCCTTCATTTCTGACTTCCGATTTGACTAGGTTGATGTGTTTTCGTTGTCAAGGTGCTACGTATAAAGGCGTTCTCAAACTCTGACCGCCTTTCGCATCCTTGCGCGCGCTATTTAAAAGGACAGTAGTATTTTTCCTCGCTGAGTAAATCCTATTGTTTTGATCGTTTATTACGTATCAAGACTACTCTTTATACTTTAATTTAACTTATTTCAGTTAAAGTATCCGATAAGGATATCGTTTTTGTTTTCAAAGTAGTTTATCATCGGTACTTTTGAGTACTTTATTTTCTATTGTATTTGTTGGTATTTTGGCTCCAACAATTTACAGTTTTCCACTATTTTTGGTCATAGATCACTTTTGTCTCTGGGTACTGTTGTATCTAGTTTCTTTCTAAAAACTTCTGTCCAATGACTGGACAGTGCAAGGAAAGCAATGGCCAACGTCTGGGCTGTCGATATCTCGTTGAAAGTGGCATGCGGTGCGATGGGTGCAAAGGCTGGTACGACGAAGTGTGCACGAATTTGACGCCTGCGGCTTTCAAACGGTTTAATAAAAACGGTTGCGTATGGCTTTGTCAGCAGTGCTGTTCGGATGCAAACAGCTTGCTAACCGAGGCCATGTCAATGGCAAATGATGCAAAAGTGTTTAAGCAAGAGAGGTCGGGACACATCGGACAGCACTCGCACTGTCGACACACAGATTGATGTGAAGCCACCTCAAGTGAGCTCGGAAACAGCTGACTCATGTCGATCAAAGGAGGAAATACCGTCTTCAAAGTGGTCTGTCTTAATTAAAAACTCAAGAAAAGAATTTTCCTCTTTCCCCTGTCTTCTAAATAGTGTCAGGCAGGAAACACCTAAAACTCGCAATCGCAAGGCTCTATCTGTTTCTAGCAGGAAACACAACCTGACTTCCAAAGTCATCGATAACCCTCCGGAATCCCACAGTATGTTTGACGCGACTGTGGTTGCTACTCCAACGAAAGTTGACGAATGGATACAGGTCGTAGGCAAGAAACGACATAACGATATAAAAAAATCCTACCCTCCAAAAGTAGTCGAGAATCACGGCGAGTGAAAGCTCTGAAACTATAGCTCGCTTTGAGCACGACATTGGGTTGATAAAACAGCTACTAAATCAACTTACACCTCAAAGTATTTCCAGAGTCATTTTGTTAAAGGTGTATAGACTAGGTAGTCAAACGAACTTAAAAACAAATCAAGCCAAGCTGCCTAAAGTTGTATACAAATCTTCTAATGAACGGGACTTAATTTTACGGGATGGACACAAATTAAAGGGCTCAGGAGCTTTTGTCCGTAAGGACTTGCCGCTGGCAGACTGTGTAAAAAGATGTAAGCCAAAAAAGAACTACAACATAGGTTAGACGCTGGCGAAACGGACCTAAAAATGGTAAATTTTCGGGTTGTGAGGCTTCGACAGAGAATGATGTGCAGCACGAAGCCACTTAAATAGGCTTCGGATCTGTTACAAAAATTCCCGAAGCTTGCTGAATAAGCGGTCGAAACTAGGTGTACAGATTGACTCTACCAATTCAGATATAATCGCAGTCACAGAAATGTGGTTGACGCAGCCTTTAAAAAGTATGGAACTTAATTTTGAGTGTTTCACGTTAGTAATAACCGACAGAATCCAAAAGCGTAAAGGAGGGGGAGTAGCTCTATTCATTAGGAATGCTATCTCATTTGCTATTATTGACAGTGTATCCCATGAGAGTGGGACGTGTGAACTAGTTAGTTGTCGCTTTAAATGCAAGGGACAAGAGCTGCTGATTGGTTTGGTCTACCGTAGTCCAAGCTGTGAGGTAAATGAGGTCTTGCTAAGCAGTCTCAATACTTGGTCACAAAGTGGTCAATATCTAATCCTAGGAGACTTTAATGCACCTATGGTAGACTAGAAAAACCTGCGAACTGAATTGTCAGATAATTACTTTGAGCAGGAACCGTTTGTTGCGGTTATCACATGTACCCTAGTACAACATGTGAAAGAAGCAACTACGTACGACCCGAATTCTAAATCATCCTTACTAGATCTTATAATGACCGATTATGAGGATGACGTTGCGAACCTTCATTACATGCCGCCCCTAGGTAAAAGTGATCACGCAGTTTTAACGTTTGACTTCCATATAACTGTCAATCACGAGCACGCGCCAGCTCAATCCAGACCTAACGTGTGGAAAGCAAACATACCTGATATCATGCACTCAGCATCGTTAGTAGATTGGACAATAGACCCAGAGTCCTCAATTGAAACGGCTTTGGACGTATTTCGAAATTTATACTTAAATTTATTGCATTCCACATCACTTGAACCACACCAAGGGGGCCGAGAAACTCTTCACCATAGTTCAGTAAGGAGGTTCGCATTCTTCGCCGTAAGAGAAGAAAAATGTGGGATAGATTTAGGTTAATGGGGACTGATGAGACAAAATCTCAGTATCGAAAAGCTCGGAATACCTGTGCCTCGACCCTTCGTAAGTCTAGAAGGTTGTACGAAGAGAAAATTGTCAAGGAACTCATAGAATATTCTGAACGCTTGTATTCCTATATAAGCCAAAGGACAAAAAGAAGAGGAAACATTCCTGAACTAAGGGGAGACAGTACTGCCTCATCATTAGTAGAGGACGACTTTGGTAAGGCTCAAGTATTTTCAATCTGCTTCAGCAATGTATATACTATAGAAACACCCCGTCAAGCCATGCAAACTCCCCCAACACAAACACTAAACAGCTTGACTATTAAAGAACTCGATTTCTTTGGTCTGTTAAGTAAGCTAGACATAAACAAATCCATGGGACCCGATAACTACATCGTAGGTTACTAAAGGAATTAACTAACTTCGTCGCGAATCCTTTAAGTATATGCTTTGATCTATCCGTAACCCATGGTCGTTTACCAAAAGACTAGAAGAACGCCATAGTAAGTCCTGCCTTCAAAACAGGTACAAAACATAAACCTGAGAATTACTGACCCGTTAGCTTAACTAGTGTGGTTGTTAAAATTTTAGAGATTATTCTGAAGGAGCTGTTTAAGTATCTCGATTAAAACCGAATCCTTCCGAAAAAAGCAGCACGGTTTTAGAACAGGTTATTCCTATCTCACTAACTTTTTAGTGACTCTTAAAAACGGGTACGTTCTAAAGGACCAAAAGTTACCTGTAAACGTGGCCTATACTGACTTCAGCAAAGCTTTCGACAAAGTTCCGCACAACTGGCCGTTATATAAGTTAAGAAATGTAGAGGTTGGAGGCAATCTGTTGATGTGGATAAGAGACTTCCTAGTTGGGCGCCAACAGAAGGTACGGGTGAACTCCAAGTTGTCTAGCTGGGAAACTGTGCTTGGTGGAGTGCTCCACGGTACAGTTTTGGGTCCAGTGTTATTTCCCTTGTATCTAAGTGACCTTCCTTGCCTACTATCATCATCACTCGTGCTATATGCTGACGATGCCAAGATATGGAGAGGGATACAATTTAAGAGTGATAGCTTAGAACTCCAGAATGACCTGAAGAAGCTATCTGAATGGTCTCAAACCTGCCAGCTGCCGATAAATACGTCCAAAAGTATTGTGATGCGAATCAGTCATCAAGGTACAGATACATACACGATGAATAACACTGAGCAACCTGTTGTTCAGATACACAATGACTTAGGATTCATCGTTAGTCAAGACGTAAAAACTGATGCACACTGCCATGCAATGGCTGCCAAAGGTTTTAAGACTTTATGGTCAATACGTAGAGCCTTTAGTCATGTCGACGCTAAAACTTCTTTGACTTTGTATATAGTGTTCGTGCGTCCTAAACTTGAGTACTGCATACAAGCGGATAGCTCCTGCTTAAAAATAGACAGTGAGCTTTTGGAAGAAGTTCAGGGAACAGCAACTGAGCTGATTCCCGGAATAGCAAAGCAACCGTATAATGCTCGACTGGCCAAGCTAAACATATTCCCGTTGTGATATCGCAGAACTAGAGGCGACTTGATTACAGTTTTCAAATCACCTAGTGATAAATTTGCACCTGATATGCCCTCATTTTTCTTGTCTCCCAAAACAGAGAATTTACGAGGATACTCCAGAAAAGTTCACAAATCCAGAACAAATTATTTGTCAGCTGACTATCAACGAGTGAAAGTGATTACTTTAGCACGTGATTGAGGCTTCATCGTTCGACTCTTCCAAAATAAAGTTGAATCAATCAAGAAATTATCATTTCCAGGACCAAAACAGGCCATCAAGTCTCCTGTTCTTTCCAAACTGAAATTGAAACTGATCTTTAGCATTTATAGGCATCTCAACAAAAATTCAAACTCATCACACTAAAAAATTATATCCTTCGCGTTAACTATTTAGATGCCTTGAAATATGATACAAATTGAATCATATAACCTCAAATCTTTCAAAATACTTTTAAGTTCATAAATCTCAACTTATTTTATATGGTTTACGTTTTCCAAATGAGTCAATATGTATGGTGTTTGTTGCTGGGTAGCTTTTGATAACGTTGCTAAATTCATTATAGTTACACTAGATCAATAAATCATATGTAGTAGGCGGATTACCACTGTTTGCATATGTATGATAGGTCGGCAAACTGAATTCCTATAGGAATATTTGTTGGGTAGACTTATTGCTCAAAAAGTAATGGACGACATAAAATTTCAATAACAGTCATGCCAACATTTTGTCAAAAAATGTGTTCATATCCAAAAATCATCACATAACACCATTATCAACATCTGTCTTACCAAAACGTTTAAAATATATAACATTTACCTGGGATTCCTTTGATAGTTTTAGATTTCGACTGAATAAATTCGGTATGGTGGCATTACGCTGCACTTCATACTCCCTTTTCCAGCCTGATATATTATTTTTTAAATTGAAAGTGTTTGTGGTGTTTCTTTTCCGTGTAAATGATTCATTACATTCATAAGAACCCGGACCAATGTCAGTGGACAAGATTTCTTTCATCCATCTTGGGTGGACGTTAATTCGTCGTCTAAATACGTGTCATAAATTTAATAAATACCAACCTGTCTGTGCTGCTACCAAATGGTGGTTTACAAATCATTCAGATTCATAACACCTCGCTTGTATTACCATAACATTCGTACGTTCAATATCCAATAACTTGTGATAACCTAGTGTCAACAAAAGAACTTCTTTGAGCTTGCTTATTGTTTCCTCAGCACGGTTTTGAGTCTTTAGCGGTATCCAACTACATATATTCTGATTACTTGAATGTACTAGATCCAGTCACATCGATAGTCATTTGTTAGTTTGTCACAGATCAGTAGGGATTCTAGGAAAAGCAGCCTTAACATAACTAAGAAGTAAGTTGGTTAGCTGCAGTTTTTCGTAGAAAATAGACAAGATATCAGTACGGAATAACGAAGAGCAGATGAAAAGCAGGGGAGGAAATCAATTGATCTTATTATGTCATCAATTTGTTGCATTGCAGAGGAAAATAAATCCCTGAAATAAACAATTCTGTGAGCTATCTTAAAGAGCAGAAACCAAACAAGCAAACGTAACGCGAGCTATTCGACGATAACGAGCTGCAACACAGCTCGGCAACGGAGGTTATTTATATTTGAAAAAGATCAGTGGCCGACAAACAACACCATTTGATAATCTTACCAAAATACTAAATATTGTGCCTTCCAGAAATCACAAATAAATTAATGTATTTCTATTTAAAATCATCCCTTACGTTCAAAGTTTTGGGAAACTCCCTTGCTGGTACGCATCAATGACAATCGTAGATGGTGAAGCTGACTTACATATTTACTTACGACTGTTACCTCTCGTGGAGCAGCATAGGATGCTCACCAGCTTTCTCCATCCAACCCTTTCTTGAACAATCCTTTCTAGTTCTTTACAGTTGCTATTCGTCCTACTCATATCTGCTTCCAATTCACGGCACAGTGTGTTCTTTGGCCTTCCGCTTTTCAGTCTCTCTTCAGGATTCCAAGTTAGCACTTGTCTCATGACACAGTTTGATGGTTTCCTCAATATGTGTCCTATCCACTTCTGGCATCTTTTCTTAGTTTCCTCCTCAGTTGGAAGTTGGTTTGTTATCTCCCACAATAGGCTGTTGCTAATGGTGATGATTATCTTACGTAGACAATTGTTTATAAATACTTGTACGTTTTTGATGATGGTTGTGGCAGTTCTCCAAGTTTCAGTTCCATACAGTGGAACTTTCTTGACATTGGTATTGAAGATTGTGACTTTGATATTGGTTAACAGATATTTTGAGTTGCATATGTTATTCAACTGTGGGAATGCTGTCCTTGCATTGATAATCCTCACCTTTACGTCTGCATAAGATGCTCCACGTACATCGATTATGCTACCCAGATAAGTGAAACTTTCCAGAGTTTCTCCGTCAAATGTGATTGGGTTGATGTTCTCTGTACTGTATTTCAGGATCTTGCTCTTTTTCTTGTGTAGGTTGAAGCCTACTACTGCAGAGGCTTTCAATACACTGGCTATCTTCACATGTACTTTTTTGTGTGTGTAGGAAAGAAGAGCTAGGTCATCCGCAAAGTCCGAATCGTCCAATTGCATCCAATCTGTCGGCTGTATTTCGTGCTTCCCCTCATGTGAAGGTCTTCATAATCCAATCAACCACCAGAAGAAAGAGAAAGGGTGAGAGTAATCAGCCTTTCCTGACTCCCGTCCTTACTTTGAATGCGTCTGTCAACTGTCTTTCACATACGACCTAATCCGTCGTACGAATTCCGTATGGTGTTGGCGTTTTTATCAGGTACTCCATAGTGTCGAACAAGGTTCCGTAATGTTCTCCTATCCAAGCTGTTGGACGCTTGATCATAATGAAAAAGGTTGATGTATATTAGCGAGTTCCATCAAATTGATTGCTCAACAATGGTCAGTAGTGTCACAATTCGGTCTGTTCACGGTCTGTTAATTGCTTTCTACTTGTTCTTACTTTCTTAAATCTTGTCCACAGTTTCGATGGAGATCCATTTGTTTTGATGAAGCTTCTTGCGGTCCAGAACCTATTGACACGCCATAGTTTGTGCTTTCCAGTTGTCCTTAGTGGTCTCTTCTTTTTTCAGTAGATCTTGTAGGGATTAGAACTTTTTGTTGGGAGTTATTTTGAATTGGTTGAGTTTGTTAGTATCTCGTAAGAAGGCTACATTTAACGTTTGTGTTGCTGTTTCTCCAGCCGTCTAGTGTTTGCTCAGCTTCATTTTCATCTTAGCCACAACCAAGTGGTGATCTGATGTTATGTCAGCTCCTCTCCTGGTTCTCAAATCTTCCATTGACCTTCTCAACTTTTTATTGATACATATATGATCTATCTGGTTCTGTGTAATGTGACCCGGCGAAATCCATGTGACATTCTGTATGCGTTTGTGTGGGAATGTTGTGCCGCCTATGAACATAGATTTGCAAATCTCTCATCATTTTCGTTTCCCCTCTCAGTCAGTCCATGTCGTTCAGTGATATCTCCGAATCAGGTGTTGTCCATTCCGACCTTGATGTTTAGGTTTCATATCAGGTTGTTGAGATCCTTTCTTGGACACTCCACCATAACTGACTGCAGACTCTCGTAAAAGTAAACTTATTCGTCGTCACTGCCATCATTGATAAGTGCATAAATTTGGATAACAATCCCTCCTTCTTTGTTTTGAAGGATGCTTAGATGATACTGGGCCCATGAAGAATTGAGTTTTCTATGTATCTACTGGTATGATACCGGCTTATTCCAAATATGTTCGTGATTATATGCCTTCGTGGGCTTTTTAGTGTGCGTTTACGTTTGAATTCGTATTGAATGTCTGTGGAGGTTGACTTCTGAGCTTGTGATTGATTGATCTCTTTCTTACGGGTTCATCGATCGAGTCAATTTCAATGTGTCAGTTGTTTGCTAATCGATCTGAAAATAGTGCACCTGAAATTCCTCTGACATTCTTGTATTTTCTTTTACACAAACGTTTGACGTTTTTTCAGTCGAATTTATTTTCATGGCTACATGCATACACTAAAGGATATTTAAAATCATGAACCATGTCGCCTCACCGTTAACCTGTTGAGCAGGGATAAATTGCGAAGCAAAATCAGTAAGAAATGAAGTTCAGGGTATTTGTTTTCCATCGGTTCTATGACAGACCAAATCATTTAGCTCGGATAATTCAACACAAACAGATATAGACATATATGTAACAAAGTAGGCTTAATACTTATGTTTTTACTGCGATTTCGCTTAATAGTAAGTAAAATAATTAAAATAATTAAATAACAACTATTCATGTTGATTTGTTCAACCATAAATTATGGGTCGTCTAAAGATTTGAGATTTATTTCTTGCTTATCATCAAAAACCGAAGATTATGTTAAGTTGAGAGAGAATGATGACGAAAGCCTGAGAGAATTGTTTCAACATGAAAGAATATTAATATGACATTAACTTGAATCAGTTGGCTATAAGCACTTGGTCAGACATAGTCAACCTCCGTATAATTCATTGAGCCGCCTGTCGATCAAGTAGACTTGAGACGAAAAAGTTTTAGAATTTAAGGATTTCAAATTGAAAAAGATTACAGTTGCAATTCAGAATCAGAAAGTGATATATAAAGGGTAAAAATTCTACCAAAATGTGTTGACGTTTTTCAAGTACTTTGAGCTTTCTTTGAAATGTTGGACATCATAAGCATAAACTACGAACTCAAGTGACTTTAGGGAAGAGCTTAATATGTCAAACTATTTTTTCACATCGCGATTTGCGGTTAAATGCTTCCAAGAGTTTTTATTTTGTTGCGTGTGTTGATTTTAAACGATTATTTTGTCATTTTGCTGGCTTCACTACTATGTTTTTGACTAGTACTTTGTGATGAATGGTTCGCGTATTTACAAGAATATATTATGAAAGACGGTCAGTTGTGTCAGTATAGAATTTTTGACAGCTGGTAAAAACGAACCTACAAATGTTTTTAGACAAATTGTTGTGACCATTTTTGGCGGCATAAAATTATATGAAATAATTGTTTTGAATAATGAGATAAATGTTCCGTGAAGATATAAAAATCATTACGAGGATTTCTGAGATGTTAAAATGATGATTGTGTGTATTTGAAATATAGTACAAATTAAGAATCCCAGAAATAACCCATTTTAGCCAAGAAGTATTAGATGAGCACGAACAGACCTATTATATTTAGAATTCAAAATCAAGCGGTCAACAAGTACAAAGAAATCATTAGTTCATACAAAAACCACGGTCAACCATATCTACCAAAACTATCCGTATGTTAATTTGGGTTTCCACCATTCGTCCAATTATAGGCCCTCATTGTTAAAGAACGAAGAGTGAGTTTTCTCTTCTGGTTGATAATAGTTCAGATTTTGATCTCAATATACAAAACATATTCAGTCGCGATAATGACAGATAGTTTTAAAAAATGCCAATGAGACTCTTTTGATTGCTACTCTTTGTTTAAAAAAATTGGGAAGAATTAAAAATGTATGCTTTCCTTATTTGTCCAAAACAAATTCTAGTACATTATAGTCAAGGAAATCCTTTCAAAATATCCAATACGTTATTGATCGCGTAAAGTGTTATATATCATAAGGAAATATCTTCTAGTTGATATACTGTTTCTGAATCTAACATGCACGATGCACATAGTATAACCTTATACAAGTCAATGCAAACTACATCTTTATAGTTAACCTATTTGCATACAATATTTAAGGATGCTGATTAACGGGAATGTAAAAGCACATGTAACATTCATGAAGATTTTATTGATTCGTTGTTTCACCAAGTACTATATTTAGTACCTAATTATATTGGTCTCAGAAACGGGTCTAACTGTTTAGTTTTGTCTATTATTAGCATTATTTAACTGGTAACGATTTTCTATCATATATGGCGGGTTCATTAGTGACGGATAATGGTTAGAGAAGGAAAACCCAATAATATGATATTGCTTTGTATTGCAAACTAAGATTTGCCAAGATTCCAGTCGGAAAAGTCCACAAATGGAGTTAACTATGCTGAGAGTGAGGCAGCAAACTAAGCTAAAGTAAAAATTGACTGAAACTAAAAACACGTGAACTACCGAATTCTGAATCGATGGTTTACTTAAATGAT